AAATATTAAATCCAAGATGTAGAGTTTCTGATATTTTATTTGTAATGTACATTCTTTCATGTAACGCTACGTCATGACATGTCACTATGGAGAAAAATGTTTTAATATATTAGCTTCACCAAATACCTTCAGGTTTACCAACGCTAGTTGATTTATTGTTTAACACACACTATAGTTGCAAATAAATACAAAAGAAAGTTTAAAATCAATCAAAATTTTCTGGTCAGTTTTTGTTCCAGACTTTGACGACGTACTGTGCAGTCACACTTCAACGTTGAAAAAAAGTGAACAAGTGGAGGACGAGAGTACGTGTCAAGCCTACAAAATAAAATAAAATAAATTCAGGAAAGACCTCGCACAGGATCGATTTTTTTCCCCCCCAGAAAAGATGTGTGTTAGAAATCCCACTGCTGGTGTTAACGCCTTATTATTTATGTACTGTTTGACTGTGGCGTTTAAAAATAAAAAATTAGACCCAGATTTCATGTGAATGGCTTGCAACACCGTACCTGATCAAACAAATGTTGACTTCTCTCTATTTACAACAACTTTCACAGTGAGCACGACAATTTATACCTAAATAAATATTTTTGTGCCCTTCAATTCCTAGAACTCCAATCAATATTAAACTAATTATGTGATAATTAAAAAAAATCCCAATAAATCAATAATTTGTGAATTACTAAAACATATCTCAAATTATAATATTAATTAAATAAAATAAACCCATAAATAATGAAATAATTACAGGTGAAATTAATAAAATAAGTTAAAATAGTTAACTAAAAATTGAAAGATAAACATAATTCTATGATGTTTTTATTCTATAACAGATTGAAATTAATTGGGATTTAATAAAAAAATATTTGGATTATTCTATTTAATGTATGCATTCAAGTTTTATTTTATACTTTTAACATATTTATTTCCAAATTATTTGTAAGATTATCAGGCTTCTGGCCTTCATTAGTGCAAGGGCTTTGTAAATGTTTCATATTTATTTAGCCATTTCTAATAGTTTAACTATTAATAGATCATCTCTTGTCAGGGAGGAAATGTAGCAGAATTAAAGCGCAGATAAAAGGATATGAATTTGAGGAAGATGTCATTTATTTTTAAGGACCCACATGAACAGTGTGGTGTTTGTTTACAGTGCCGCAGCAGCAGAACCCTGGGTCCAGATGCTACAGACTCAAATGATAAGCTGAGGCGGTGCCACGCTCGGGTCAGCACAGCTTACATGAAACTGAAAGCTCAAATGTCCATTAGTAGCAAAACAAATGCCCCCTTAGCATGTCCTTTGGTTTTAGACCTCCACAAGCGCCCGCTTTTAGGCGCCATTTCCCCACTTCACGCAAAGATGAAGCGAGTCCTTTTCTAAACAGCATGCCGCGTACCTCGAGCCTTTCGTCGGCTTTCTTGGTCGCCGACTGTAGGAGGTTTCTCCATCGAGTTTAAGATAGAACCAAGGAGGTCCGCCATCTTGCAATGATAAACCTCTTCTCCAGCCGAACACGGTGCGCATGCGTGTTAGGGCTTCGTATTCTTCTCTGTAGAGAAAATCTGCATTCAAACAATGTGCTGCCACCACGTCCCAAAGGGCTGTAGTGCTGCTGCAGTGAAAGCCGAGCTAAACATATTTATTGGTTCCCTCCTTTCCATATTCTGTTTGCGATTGCAAGAAATACACACACAAATAAACACATTAATGTGACGAGAATACAAGTTGTACAAGACAAGCTCAATCTGAACCTTATTAGCACTTAATTGTAAAAATCACCCCAAGACACTCAACAAATAATAGAAAGAACTAAAGATTTTAAAATATCTTTGCGGTTAATCCCACATTTTTTTATTTTTCAGGTTGTTGAAGATTTAAAGCAATGACTTAGGTCAGTTTTGGATAGAAAATAAGACAGGCATTTAAAGATAATGAATTGTAAAACTATAAATTGCTTTTTGGTATGGTTCCACTGATATTTTAACAGTTTGTCTTCGAGCTCAAAGTCTTTGAGGTTGGAGAGTCTCTTGGCCTAATCTTTAACTTCTAGATTTTTGATCAGATTTAAGTGTGGTTCTGGCTCGGCCTCTTCCTGTCAGAACGAGCGCGCTGGAATGTTGAATCTGCCACAGGAATGAATAATTTAAAGCACAAGTGTGTATATACAATCATATTTCTTCTCACTCTTCATAAGTAAAGTTGTGTTGTGTTTGTCAGAAAATAAATATTTTTGCACAAAGTCAATGCAAGTTTACACAAATTTAGCTGTTCAGGCTATTCTCCTGTGGCCATTTGCCTTGTATCATATTGTCTCATATTTCCCATTTTGAAGAGTGCATAAGAGAATTGGGCTGCTGTGATATGTCAGATATAAACCCAAGAGATACACAAAGTTGTTAAATACTAATTTTAGTTTATAGACACTCTGATAAGTTAAAAGAATTGATGTACATTTTTAAATGACAACATTCACTAAATAAATCTTAGATTTAAGAAAAAAAATCCAGTGTGAGAATATGTTGCTGCAATTGTTTTAAATTTATGAAGTAAAAGCTAATTATAATTTCTTAAAATGTGGTAGTGTGTGAATAATCTCTTGGCTTTCACTGATGCAGACAGAAGACAGGATAAACATGCAAATAAACATTTTTACGTAAGCAACAGGGGGGCAAGCTTCACAATCGTGTGTGCATGTGTTCATACCTTTTTATTGTTAAGGTAACAATTCTCCCTTGCGTCACTGGGGCATGTTTTGTGAAGCGTGATTGTGGTTTCACAGCATCAGCAATAACTGAGAACTAGAGCCATATTCAGATGTGGAGAGAGGCCTGGATGAGCAGAAGGCCAGGCTGTGAAAACACAGACAGCGCCCCGACCTGCACTGCTAAACAAACATCTCCTGGAAATTCAACTTTTGCTCTGCTGTGATCCACTCCTCAGTTCAACCAAAGTATTACGTGTAAGTATAATTTGACACAACAAACCCCTTTTTATTTCAGCAGATGTTGAAAGCTAAAAAATCTGCTCAATGAATTCTGAGAACTTTGGAAACGTAACTCGTGATTTTTGCGTGTTGGGTAACATGACAGCCGTGACCTCCACGCCCCAGACATCTTTCAGTGATGCTCTTGTTGTGATTTGGACAGACAGGACGGACTCCTCCCCCCCGTCGTGCTTGAAATGCTGTATAAATGCAGCATCAGTGTGTCACCAGCAGTCTGAACGTTAATTGGCGCCCAAACATGAAAGGACTGAGCTTGGTTCTCCTCGTTCTTCTCCTGATGTTCGCGACTGCGGAGGGTGAGCAATGGATAAATATGTTTTGCTACGTTGTAAAGCCAAAATAAAGCAATTTATATTGGCAGTCTCACCTGTTTGTGTTGCTCCGATATTAATCATTTTAAATGTGACAATTAAAAAAAAAAAGATGACTTAATTTCTAATGGAAGGGATGATTCTTCTTTCACGTTTGTCATCAGGAGAAGATCCAGAGATGCAATATTGGACCTGTGGGTACAGAGGACTCTGCAGACGGTTCTGCTATGCCCAAGAGTATATTGTTGGACACCATGGTTGTCCTCGAAGATACAGGTAAAGTTTAGGATTACTCTCTGAAGAAAGCACTATGTGAAGGTGTAAGAAGAGCTAAAGTTTTGACTTTTTGTTTTGTTCCAGGTGTTGTGCTGTGCGTTCATAGCACTCTGATGATGGTCCAGAGATGCCGAAGTGATGCTAGGATTCAAACCTCTGGAATATTCTGCAGAGATAGCTGACTTGCTGCTTCACATCAGCCCACTTTGGTATCCAATAAAGTTAGATCCATCATAAGAGTTTCTGTAGTGGGTAGAATAGTAGGTACACCACACTTTTACGCTGCCCTGACTGGAATTGTCTAGCTTATTTGCTTTGCTGCCAATAAATGCATTAAAATAAACATACCAATGTTTTTGTTTACTACCATTGTCTGAGCTACACCCCACTTTGGTGCGCTTCTTTGAAATAACAGTGTGGAAAGCAGTCTGAGTTGGGTCTGGCATGCTCTCGCTGGTTGCCGTGCTGACAGGAGACAATAACGGTCAAGTGACTGACCCAAATAGCTGGGATGGAGCACAGCTTTTGTGAATGAAGTGTTATGTCTCTCATCTGTGTTTATGTTGTTTCACCGTTCATTCGGTCTGTCTGTCTGGACAACGCTGGTGGGAAACAGACAGACAGCGCTACAATACACCAGTCAGGACTGCGATGCAGATTCATTGTCGCTTTGTCTGCGCCGTGTTGAATTGGAAGGTCAAATGTCTCTGAGGATGGTTTTTGGATTTTCACTATTATTCTCTTATATATATATATATATATTTAACTCATATTCATAACATGCCCTAACTGGTTTGAGAATGAGTCGGTGTAAGCACATACATTGAAAATATGACCAGGTTGCTTAAAACATAAAAGCAACAATTATTCCTACTTTTTCCAATGTAACGTGTTTACTGCCACAGATATTCACATATTTATTTTGAGATTTGTCAAATTTGAAGTGAATAGCATCTCACCAAATCTCCAACCAATTTTAATGAAATGAAATGTTAAGACGCTTTCAGAATAAAAAAAAATATATATAAGGTTCAATAAGTTATATATTTCTACATAAAATCATAAGGCGTCACTTAAACCTATACACCAATTTATTTTGGTAGCTATTTAAAAAAAAAAAACATATTTCCCCATAATATACTTTAATAGTACTTTTAATTGATTTTATATAACTGAATGAATCAGAAACACCACCGTAACAGAAATTGCTTTTGTAGCAATTCTGTTCCACTTGAAGAAACAACACTGACCGTGTGGGATGTAGAGGAAATTCAAATTAAAATTAACCTTGGCTCTTAATAACTCATTAAAAACCAAGAATTAATTCTGATGAGGCACAGATGTGTAGAAGAGTAAATAAGACACAACAGAAATATTGAAAGAAAATGAGAGTGCACTCATGCTGTTGCTCCTTTCAAACATTTTATCAAAAACAAACAAATCAAAAAAGACATTAATAAAACAAAGAAAAAGCACTAAACTGAACAATACACGTGCCCTGCAGGGCAGAACAAAGCAAAACAATGGTAAGAATATCCAGATTAATTTGTACATACAATGCTGGATCATCAAATCTTTAAAGACAAAAAGACCTGCAACTCCACACATGAATTGGCAGCAAACATCTGAAAACAGGAAAATCCGAAAACTTAAAACGCGTTAATTGGGAACTAAATATTAACAGGAAAAAAAAAAAAAAAGGGGGGGGATTATTTACAGTGATCTCTTGCTGAATCAGAAACATTCACTGGCTAACATATTCCAAAAGAGATCAACGAGCAGCTGCTGAAAAGCTGAAGGTTTTCTGTCCTGGATGCACAGATCAGTGGCGCTCAGTGAACAATTACAACAGCTCTAGAAATGTTTAGACTTTGTGTTGCTCATAGACCGAAACATTGTTGACATAATTCCTGAATCTATCAGACATTGTTTTGGCAGCACATCAAATCAAACATCATATTGAAAACTGGATTTAAAAAAAAAAAAAAAATCGATGGGACATATCCTGCAAAAATAGGTTTTATGTTCTACCAATAAAAATAGCTGCTCAGTCTCATAGAGCAAGATAATGCTGGATGGACATTACAGGAGAGTGATGATGATAAAGGAGGTGATCAATAAAGCTGAGAATGAAAACAGAGGATGATGCTTCATAATCACACAGCTGATTTGTTTACCCAGCATATTAGCGCCGAGGCAAAACCCTAACTGTGCTGTTTAGGCCCATTTTGTGTCAGCTTTAAGAACCTTCTCCAGCTCTCTTTACATGTCAGAATATTACGATTGTTGATTGTATGTTATTGAAATGCACCGAGAAAAAGGCCATTCAGGTAGGAACAGAGGGGGAGACGGTGAGACATTTAGCAGATAACAGGAAGGCCGAAAGTATTACAGCAAAGTTGCCATTCCATCCTTTAGAGATTGCAATTCCTTGGAAGTGTTGGTCTCTTTTCGTAAACTTAAAATTAGAGGTAAGGATGCACGTTCTTCAGATTATACATATGGAAACTCCTGGATAAGTAAAGCTGTCTGTGCTAATCGCTGATAAAAGATGGTGAAGGGTTAAAGATGTGAACTCGGATCATTTTGTCAAACGACTGCTAGCAGGACAACGATTTTCAAAGCTGTTCTTATATCTACTGGGTTCTCAAGAGAAATCAAAATAGACTAAAACTGGTTCAGATTAAACATGTGTAAAAGTTGAAAATTGGCCACAAAATTCTGATCGGTGCGTCTCTATTTATGAGTCCTATTCACCTATGTAGGGATGATGATAGGTGGTAAAATCAACTGACTCTGTTAAGGATGTGCATCGCTACTCTTCCTGAATTAGCCTCTATTGGAGCAGAAATTTAAAAATTAAAGAAAACAAATTTACTTTCTCACTTGTCATATTTGATCTATACAGGACTTTTAAGTTTGCCACATTCTCCAAAAAAAAAAAAAAAAATCAAAAACAACTTGGACAATAGTGTGTGACAATAGAGAAAATAGATGAGCTTTTGAAAACAGCAACTCGTGTGCATATATTTGTTTTTCGGGGGGAAAAACATAACCGATAGGTTGTTGTTTCAACGCCATCTCTTTCATGGTGTTGAAACAACAACGCCATTTCCTGCTGAAATGCAAGGAAAGTCCCTGCATTTCAACAGGCTTCTTCTGAGCATGAAGTCAGTTCAGTATCCCCACGTTTTCGTGGTACACCTCAGCTCTGCAGACACAACCCACATGTGAGGACTAAAACATCTAAAGCTTGTTAAAACAGTGATAATAACTAGTTGAGAAAAACTTGGTCTATTTAAGTCTAGTTGATGTGGCAAGAGAGAACATTATGAACGTGATGACATCTGAGCAAACACAGTTTATGGCCACGCTTCAGTCTGGGGGATCATTACCGCTCAAAGGGAGTGATCGCATCAGCATTTCTTTGCGGTCTCCAAACTGACAGCCACTCGTCTTTTTGATAAGAGGCGTCCCGTTGACAGAGCAATCAATTCCACTTTTTGGTCCCTGTGGCTCGTTTGCTTTAGACTTTGATCTTCAGCACCGAGCGCAAACCCGATCTGCCAAGGATGATGCGTCACAGTCCAGTGAAGCTGGCTGGCCTGAATGAAAGGTGGTGGCTTTCAGCTACTCACATTCGCTGTTGTTCAAGGCAGAGGTGGTCATTTGTGAAAAACATAGACTGGTCTCTGAAAACCTACATCATGAGAAAAAAAATGTTAATAGATCTTAAAACAGCTATGTGTTATGCAAGGAGGAAACTCAGCATACCATTACCTCTTACTGAACACTTAGGAGACCCCAGGTGCTCAAAACTTGTGAAGCCCACTTCATTTGTGAGGTAAGATGAAAACTGATCAGGTTTGAGTCTGATGCTGCGATAATTCCTGTTAATGTTTTCCTGATGGGGGAAGGAAGAAGAAAATAATGGTTCATATAAACTAAAATCACAACAAAGAAAACATTTCATTACTCATTTTAGACCAGACTGAGGACATTTTAGCAGCCCTTTTGACAGCCTGGCAGACTTGTCATGGTGCGTTCACAACAAACAACTTTCACGCGTCTGGTTTACATTCAAAGTCTATGTGGAGGCGCATCGAGGACCCATTGCGGCGCATTTGACGCGTCCACCATGTCTGACAAATAGGCCGACAATGGAAAGCAACAGGCAGAGCGATTTTGAGACGCATGACGCACTGCAACTCCACATAAACTTTGAATATAAACCTGACACGCGAAACATGCTTGGTGTGAACGTCCCATCGTATATGGCAGTGGTCCCCAAACTTTTTCCTGTGAGGGCCACATAACTTTTCCCTTCTCTGGTGGGGGGCCGGAGATTGTTGAGGGGGGCGGGGGGGGTCGCGGGTGGGGCGTTTCTCGATTGATTTTTACCCAGAAAGCACATGGGCAAAACCCATGAGTGAAACGGTCACTGGGACTAACTAGTATATATTCCATTGAGGGAATGTAACTTTAACATATTAATTTCTCATATGTTAACATAAAGGCTCGTTTTGAAGTATAAGCTGCTACTTACAGGCATTGCTTCGAAGAGCTCGACATGGAATGTGGCGTTCATAACAGACACGTGTGTTCATCTGCTCTACTGCTAGCAAACAACCGTACTGATTAAATAACATAAAAGTCAAGCAGTTCCCTAAAAGTCCAACAGATGGCAGCAATGCGTCCCACAGTTTACAGGACACACTTCCTGCTAAAGAGAAACATCCAAACACCCACAGTTCCTGCTAAAGAGCCCCCTGGTGGTTGAAGAAAAATCCACATATAAACCGGAAAATACAATAAATGAAAAAAAAAATCTGAATGCTCTCTGATATTGTTCAGGGGGCCGGACCAAATGTGGAGGAGGGCCGGATCCGGCCCCCGGGCCTTAGTTTGGGGACCCCTGGTATATGGCCTCTTTAACTGCTTTTGAAATCCTGGAGGAAAAAAACTGAATGCTGTTCTATCAACAAAAATGGCCTTAAATGATGCAATGCTAACAAGTGTGACACTGGTGGTTTCGTAGAAAAGAAAAAGTGGGATTTGATCAAGCTGAATAAATGAACTCAAATTAAAAGGCTAATTTCACAATGTGAGATTTTACTCTTACAATAAAGGAACAACTTTTTTTTCAGTGAAAATCCTCTTACTGTCAGCTTCTTCCTCCTGACGTAGGACTCCCAGGGCTGCGGCTCCAGGATGAACAAGCCTCCAGGGCGGAGGTGTCTGTAGGCTCTCTTGAAGAGCCGCTTCAGACCGCTGTCGCCCCAGTTTAGGTGAACCCATTTGGTAACGCTGAGGCACAAGATCACGTCATACTCTGCCCTCTGAGTCATGAGGAGATTATCGTTCTCCAGAACATAGTTAGCCTGAAGGAAAGCAGAGGCGGGAGGAAAGAAAAAAAACAAAAAAACACTGTTTTGGTAAGTGGATAAAACATTTCTGTGAAGCTGTGTTCCATAAAAGATTACAGCTTGTAAAAAGATGCTGACATGGGGGGGGGCTGGAGGCAAGAAAGCTGACATGTAAAATAAACAAAATGCAGAAGTAATTATTTTTTTGTTTGGTGTTTACTGCAAAGCAGACAACAACAACACTGATTTTCCATACAGAACTTTTCATTTCTTTCTAAAGAAATCTAACTGAATGCTAAAGCACATCAGTGATGCAGGATGTTTTTTTTTGGGGGGGGAAGGAAATGTGACTTGCAAGATTATGCAAATATGAAATCAATCTTATTTTTGTCATTCACAACTCAAATTTATCTTAATCACTGCTTAATTCTCAGATTATTTTCTAAACAATCTTAATCTCAGTGCTGTAATGTCGACATCAACTCCAACATTTCTGAGATTAAAACCTGCTTCAGCTAACACTTAACAAGCAGAATTTTGTGGTGCATTTCTGACCAAATGGTGCATTTCTGCAGATAGCAGTAGGACCACAGAATATCTGTATGGTTTTTTTTTTACATAATATCTGTTACATATTAAACTCTCACAGAATATTATGGGTAATGCCGATCTAACTACAATGTAATTACATTTTAATGTTTTGATCCACATTTGTTATGTGTGCAAAATATAGTTCTTCTGGCATTAAAGCCTCTTCCTCCTCTGTTCGTTATATTTATTTATATTTATGCAACTGATGCATTTTTGCCTCGATTTTAGTAAGTCTATTTTCCGAAACAGACACTTTTCATTCTGTTACCTTAGCCAAACGTTTAGTTTTGTAGACTGAGTGGGTGCCACAGGCGCGTCAGAGATTTACCAAATGACTGCTGCCGCTGTTATTTGTAACACACACACTCAAACACACACAAGTGGAGGAGGGTGCTTTTTGACTTTATTCAGTAAAACTGTTTTGTCTCCATCTAACCAATTCATGTTGAGGACAAAAACAAGGCCTTTTGAATTTAGTGACACTTTGCGACAAAAAGAAACAACAATTACCAAACTACGCATTTGTCACTACCCAAACATATAAATTTCCAATACTGTTTTTTAATTTTAATTATAGAAATTATCTTCCTTCCATTGTTCAATTCGTCATAAGGGAGAGGGTTTTCCCCACCAAACTGGTTCCAGCTGGCTTCTAGAGCTTACTTGGCACCAGTTTTTCTGTGTCTTCATTGCCACAACAAGCACTGGGTGTAGCGTTGATGAACTGATTCTGCCCCGGCCCGGGTAAATCACTGCTTTGGTGCAAGAATTTATGGCTGAATCAAATCTGGTGACCCTTTTGTTTCAAACACAGTTTGTGTAGGAAGAGGCAAACTGGTGAAAAACATACTAAGAAGACGTTACTCGGGGAAATACCATCATAAAATATCTTGGGACAATTGTTGACAATTAGAGCGTACTTGTCATTCCAGAAATCAATGTGTGGAAGCTAAATCTAGTATGTCACAATATTTTAGGTGCCATACATTAAAAATCTACTTAGATCACTGTCCTTTAGCCCCAGAAGTGACATTATTTAAGGGACCAACTTCATAAAGCTTATGAAGAGTGACTGTGTTGTGTCTTCACCAACAACGGTCTCTTTAACGTCACTCAAAACACCCTGACCAAAGGTTTTCACTTGATTAGTTTCCAAACTAAGAAGGTTGGTGCCAAACAAAGACTTGGGATGATTATTAATGCCTTCATTTTCTCCCATCTGGACTAATTATTTGCACTTTTTATGTTAATCAACAATAAAAAGTTACTGATTGCCGACAGCAGGTCCAAAGCTCTGCGGCCAGACTCGTAACTAGAACTACGTCCTGAAACTCGAGGACTCAAGTCCTCCAGGAAGTCGACTCGTAATCCCAAGGATGAGATATAAAACTCCTTCCAAACCGTTGGACCGACTGTGGTGAGGACTTTCTTTTTTGTTTTTAAAATCTGAACTCATTTAAAAAAACGTTCTAATTCAGTATGCCTTTTATTATGATCCTTTCGAATATTCTGTTTCTAATCATGGTTTATTTGTTACGCTTTGTCTTTGTGAAGAATGTTGGTCAGTGAAAGGCACCAAAATAAATAAGACGTTCTTAATTTCCTTGTTGTCTTGATCATAGCTATCAAGAATTCAGTTGAGCCAAGTGCAAAAGCTCACCTGGTTTTTACATTTTACATGACTGTAAACTCCACCGAAAATAACTGAGACTGACTAATATTATTTTTCCACCTTAAATGATTTTATCTGACATCCTCTTTTCATTTTCCATCGTAGGGGAAATTATGTGTTTTTTTTTTCTTTTACTTTGTCGGACAGGCATAAATATCTCTTCCAAAACATCATCAACACAGAAGCACTTCAGTTTCAGCTCATTAGCTTTTTAAAACAAATGACTGTAGCAGAAGACAGGAACAATTTTAATGACAGTAATAAAAGGTTGTAAACTGCTGAGTCAATTTGGTTTAAAAAGCCAACAGTGTTCATGAGCATGCAGGCTGCCATTTTAATGAAAAAAAGAAATGGTTGTGATTCTACAAAAACTGTAAAATATCAAATAATAACACTATTTAGTAAATGTGAGGTGGCCAGTTTTGCAACTAACGTTATTCCAGATGAATGTTGATTTTTTTAAATTAATGCTCATTTGCAGAGAGAAGAGTAAAGGGACAAGTTAGTTAGTCCCCAATGACTGATGAATCTCTTTCCTGTTGGGCTCAAAAGTACAAACGTCTGCGAACAAAGCAAATCAGATAAGGTCCCGGGTGAAGACACTTCTTAGTTAGAAATGTCAAAGCCAACTGATTCATTTCCTTCATCTACTGAGATATTATATAATCCACTGTGTTTATAATGTTTTGGAAGGGATATTTATGTGTGTCCGACTAAGTAAAAAAAAAAAAAAAACACATAACTTTGATGTGCTGACATCTTAAACGTACCAGAATTTAATTTTAAGAGAAGCATGATATATTAGCTGGTGACTCAAAGTTAGCTGTTTTTATCATCGGCGACGTGTTTAAAATAATGTCAGAGGGCTCAAAGGGGCACTTTAAATTGAAACTTTGTTCTACAGAGAGTTTTCTGCTAATTCAGAGCTTTACTTTAACTAGGAAAGAGTTTATACTTTTACGGTGTCAAGCTGTTTGTCATGCAACATGCTGCTTTTTAAAAATCAAAGTCTTTCTAGTGAAATCCACACAGAAACAGCTGTTTTTTTAGTCACAAAGTAACATCACCTCTGTTCCTTATATAAATAATTTACTTAATGTTAGCCCGTGATGAGAGGTTAGGAAATATTTAGATTATAGTTATTATAGTTAGAAAAGCAGTTCTGTGAAAACTGTTTATGCTGGTCAGAGGGTTACAAAAGTAGAGATCAGACATTATTAAACTCTGAATGGTACATTTCCACTTTTTATATTTGCCAATAACATTTATTTCACTTTTACTAAATGTCTCTAATCTTCCCTAGGATTTACCAGCTGTTGTCTAACTGGACGTCACCACATAAGGGAGGCATTTCCAAAAATCAAAGTCTTACCTTGATGAAGGACACATTAGCAGGGAACTGTCCGGGCTGAGAGGTACATGTTTCCGTTATTGGCGGCGCAGCGATGGGTCCCCTGGAGATCCGCAGAGACACGGGGAAAGAGCAACTCGCAGAGCAGTCAGCAGAGGGCGCATCGCAATGTTTTTGCTCCATTTCCTCCGTTTTACCGTCCTGCCTCTGGGTTGCGGCCTCGTCTGTGTGAAAGGAGTCTCTGTCAGCTCCAGCACTCGCAGGGCCGCGCTGTCCTTTGTCTTCTTCCCCGTTTTGAGCCCCGCTCTCGGATTCATCGTGTTTCTTCCCCGTCCCTGCCTCACAGTCTTCCTGTTTGGCGGGCTTCTTCTCCTGCACCGCACGCCTGGCTTCTTGGGTCTGAAGCTCAGACAGATAATGTCTAATATTCTTACGAGCTGCATGTATGAGACCGCTGTCGATGTCCAGACCCAGTATGCGCGCCGGTCTGAACATTTTGGCAACATAGAGGGTCAGGTGGCCGGAGTTGCACCCCAAGTCCAGCACGTCTTTACCTCTGAACCACTCTTGACGGAGCACATGTATGCGAGGGTCTTCACTACAGTTCGGGTTGCGATATCCGTAATATTTGTTGTAGTTCCCGTACTGGAACTTCTTCTGATGTTCCTTTACCTGATTGTGGAGCTGCTGGTGCTGACGAAGTCCTGGGCCATCCCCTCTTGGTGTGTGGAAGGAATTTTTTTGCCCCGTTGTGCCGCAACTTCTGTCTCCAGATGTTGCCTTGCAAACGGGGGTCGAGTGGGTGACGGGGGGCTCCATTTTGCCAGAGTTGCGCCTTCGCTTGCGTCTGCTTGCGTGGTGGTTTGTTCCTGCAGACGAGATGGGTGTTGCCTCCTCCGCTGGGGCAGATGTCACGTCATCCTTGCAGCTGGATGAGCTATTAGCGCTGTGATCGTGGGAATCCCCTGCGACGGTCGACAAACTGTTCAACTCTTTGGAGGTATCTTGTGGGAAGGACGAACCTGGCATGCCTGCAGCCTCTGTGGAGGTGTTGGCTTTCATGTCACTTTTTTCAGTTTCCAACAGATTCATCTGCGTGGTGGAGATCCCGCTCGCCCCTCCGGCTCCTCCTCCGTGGTGTCGGTTGCGGTGTCTTTTCCGTCCGCCGCTTTTATAGGGAGACACCAAAAAGCTGCTGTCTGTTATCCCGCTGTTCAAGTTGAGCGGATCCGTGATGTCTCTGGGGATGAGGATCTCGACTGGGTCTCGGCTCTTCGACGGCAGTGGGGAGGATTTCGGCGTCTCCGCGTTGAGTGCCCTGTTGACCTCTTCGTCCAGCAGGCTGTTGAGGTTCAGCGGGTCGAAAATGTTACCTCCCAGGAGGAAGTTGGTTGGCAGGACGGAGTCGCTCTCAGAGTTGGCCCTTCGCCTCCTCTTCCCTGACGTGGGATATTTGAAGCTCGAACTCGCTGTGTAGCGCCGCTTCGTTAGCCTCGACTGCGGCGGCGGCTGCTGCTGCTTAGAGTGATGGAAGCTGTTCCTGCGGTTGATGCTGTTCTCGCTTCCTTTCGCTCTCTGTCCCGCGCTGTCCGTGCTCGTGTGTTTTGGTGAGTCTGCGGTGTCAGGGACGGGACAAGCGGCTGCAAAGTCAGGCGTGGCCGCAGCTTCCTCCATCATCACGGAAACACTGCTGTAGCCTCCAGTACAGTCTGAAAGCTGAAGAGGAGATGCCGAGCTGGCCTTTGGACTCCCAGCTTTTGCACTTTGCTCTTCAATAGACATTTTCTTTTAGTTTTCCCAGCTAGAAAGACACTGATGTTTTACTGGGTCTGGAAGTCACAGAAAACATATGTTAGATTAAAAGCACAAACAAGCCATAGAAAATTTGGAAGTCTTTACTATATTATGGTCTAGGCATAATGTTTTGGAATAGTCTATTAAAAGTCTGGACTTCAATCTGGCTAAATGTGGCAGAATTAATGGTAATTTGTAAAAAGTGTAGGCCAAATATCCTCCACAACAAATTAAAACATTTATTACCAATTATCGCAAACGCTCCAATAACAACAATAACGTTTCTGCGATAATCACTTTTACACTTTTTAATAAATTAATTCCACATTTAAAAACTGCCTGCAGTATTTACTCAAGTTATCCTACTCTAATATAATAATGTGTTTGATGATCTGAAACACTGTTTATAGAAATCAAAACCAAAATAAATAACTTTTCACAACACAGTATAACAGCGATACACCGAATAAGTTATTCCTGACTGCTTGTGACCTATTCCCATTTTATTTATGAAGAGAAAAAAATGCAGCATGATCTTAGTAAAGGTAATTTTTGACTCCTTCAGAACAGATGTAAGAGTTTATGTAACAGAGAAGACGTCTTCTTTAACTCAAAAATGTACATGCTATATATACTTTAGCCATATTACCTGGCAATTACAGATCCTGGAAAGGAAAACCGGTAAAAGTACATACATACTTATTAAGTATGTGATGCTTTATAATGTCTCTCGAAATTGACTAAATGACATCTGTTTATTTTTTTATATAATTAATATCTTTACATGTGTTATTATATATTATCAAATTATTTTATAAATCATTTCCTTCAAATACTGTATTTTAAATCCTAGAGTTTTCCAGACTTTGAGATTCCTTTGTTGATTTTTAAACAAACATATACTCTAAATATATGTTTATATTTAGAGTATAAACATATATAGAGCACATAGAGCTCTAGGCTCTATTGGCCTAGAGCTTTCAAAAACAGTTATTTTCTATATTAGGGTTGTTACTATACAACTGGAGGCCGCAAATCACCAAATAAATAACAAAAATAATCATTGTAAAATCACTATATATTAAATATCCTTCAAATATCTTTGCTGAAGTGAAAACTTTGGGAACCACTGATAGTGAAGAAGACTATTGTACTTACTGCAGCTTAAACATATCTAATACAACTATACAGGAAACTAATTCTAAAAGGTTTGATGACATCAGGCTTTCTTGGATTGCAGCCATCCATCACAGTGGATAAGTTTATGGTCAACATCAGATCTATACACTTCACCATTAATGCAAAAGGAGAATGTCTACAAATTACTTTAAGGAATCTAGATACAAATATATATGTAACTTTTTCCAAACTTATCAAGATTATAATTAGTACATAAGTCAGCTTGATCCCTGTTGTAATCAATGAGTTTGTATTTACTGCGGATTCTGTACAAAAATAATATTTACTTTCCCAATATAATACCACAATTGCATAAATTGTCTTATTTTTACAAGCTGCCAGTGTCTACGGCTGTACCACAATCACGTTTGTGACGTGACATGTCTGCTGAGGGGTTATAGACCTGGAAAGTTTGAGTGCGTGTTGGACAGTTGTCGTGTTAGCTCACTACTAGCTCCTAGCTTCTCTATCGCGGGCCAGAGCAGCAAAACGTCGAGTAAACGTTCGGCTCTGCTCCGGTCAAACAGCGGTAATAGATAAGCACCGGAGGACCTACCTCGACGTGCTGTTGCCTGGGCGCTGCTAAAACCCAGGCTCGCTGTTATGAAAGCGATACTATCTCCCAGATGGCCACCTACCCGCGCGTGTAGTCCCCATCAGAATAACAGTCTCACCTCGCTGTTGAGCTCTCCCCGCCTCCGGCCGGACTGTCACTACCCCGCCGCCGCCGCCGCCGCGCTCCCTCCGCTCAGGCTAACGTTAGCATAGCTAGCACACAACTGTCTCAGTATCAACACCAGAGTGGGAAGCTCCACGGACACGCACGGCGCTGGTCTGAACACAACACTGGCTCCACCGTCTCTTCAGACGGTCTTGTGGAGCTCCTCAGTTAACTCTAGTCGGTCAGTAACAGACAGGCTGGTGAATAAATGATTCCATTCGCAGAAAGAGACGGCATGGCGGCGCATCCGGGCTCCGAGCTGTAGCCAAGTGTGACTGGGGCGGAGATCCCAGACTATAGAAGCCGCAAGGTGGTGAGCACTGTTGCTGTTAGTGTCAGCTTCCTCCTGCTGGACGGTTTTGTTCTTTATCAAGTGTTAAATGTCAGCGGTTTAACAACACAATAATTAAACTTTTCACATTTTCGCATATATATGTTTAGAGTTGGGAGGAATACTGTGGTTGTTCATTTATAGCTAGTAGGATAACAGCCACATTTATTTGTTTGTTTGTTTGTTTGTTTGTTTAAAGACATAAAGGCAAGCTCCCTAGAGCAATTTCAGTTTCAGGAAAGTTTAGTGATGAAATAAAGTAAGGAAATGCCACCAATAGTTTAATTGAATAAGAACTTTAAAGTGGCTATAGCGCAAATTTCTGACTGAATTCAAGCGTTTGACAAAAACAAATGTTACTTATGTTTGTGATGTATTCAGAGCATCTCAAGCAGTGATTTTATGGTTAGCTGCTAAGTTATTAGTGGCCCACCTATGCCTACAATCATTTTATGTCAGTTTTAATAATGAGGACAAATTAAAATAACATGGATTAGTAAACAATTAAATCTAAAATGTATGACACTACCCTTGTGTTCTACCTTAAAATGGCTGAAATTACACTCAGGTATCTAATCTGGTGCATTTAGAACATTGTTAATCAGTATTTTGAAGAACGCCATGTTTAAACCTTAAGTTGACCCTAAATGAGAGTGAACACTGGGATCAAAAGAGCTGTCTGTGGTCTTCAGAAAGAAGGGATTTAAATGGGACACAAACATTTAAAAATCCACTGTGTGGACATTCAAAACAACTGCCAAATTACCCAAGTCACAAGGAAATAGGTTTACCCTGAAAGAAGACCAAAAGATGCTAAAAAAAAATGTCCAAAAAACTCTAAGAAGTCATCATGGGACTTACAACAAGCATCATTGTTGATGTGAAAGTGAATTCTATTGGAAAAGAAAGAAAGAAACAGATAGAATAAAATAGATTTAGCTTTTATATGTGTGCAAGAGGAAAACTTTGAAAGCCAGACCAAAGCTTGGCAGGCAGAACATAGCTAAGAACTTCTGGAATAGTGGTTTTTTTAATCGCAATAGAAAACATGTTTAGTTTGAAACAAATATAGCATTTCAGGAAAATAACCTAATTATTAGTGTAGGGTGTCCAAACCTTTTCCTCAGTTAGAATTCACACTTTATATATATATATATATATATATATATATATATATATATATAATTTTTTTTATTTAATGAGTAACACAAGATTGTTATAAAATCCTATTAATCTTCCATAATTGAGATTTCAGGCTCTCACAAAGTTTTAATATGAACATTTATTTTTTTTTAAATTTAACTTTAATTTAGTCCTTATGTGTAGCCAGTTTGAATAGAAAAAGAGGAAAGAGAATCAAAGGGCATTGAACAAATTCATTAGTGTTAACTGCTCTTGAGAGATGATGTATCAAGCAACCATTAAGTAATCGGCAAGGGTCTTTAAGAGTCTGCTGATAATCCATAACATGCCAGCAGTTCCACCATCTGCTGTTAAACGGCGCTAGTTTCTCTTCGCCCATGTAAGTCATGTCTGGAAAAGTTCCACAATATCATACATCAATATCAGACAAAAACAGACTTCTTTTTTTCTGTGCACTCAAAGTTATTGCCTTGACTATTTTCTAAGCAATGTAAATATTTTGAATATTTAATATTTATAAATCAATTCGACCCCCTCCCAAATAACACCCCTTTAATAAAATATTATGATGCAAGTATGCAATCCCTATAGGAAAATTTATTGAGTGCAAATTTCTTTAGGTGAAATCTGAGCATTTTTTTTTTTTTATCACAGTGCGTTGCCATGTTATTGCTTCAGGTCTTAAAGTTGCACAGTAATAAAAGTATTCACTCAGCCCTCCAAATCGTTAGATTCAGTGTTCTAATACCTTCCATGGCCACAAATGAACTAACTCCCAAACCTCGTGGCAAGCAGTTACAGAAGAGTTGAGGCTGTTATGCCTGCAGTGGGTGGGCTCACATCATATTAAACCTTCTGGATTAGGAATTTGCTGCCACTCATGCTCCTACGTGTGTGAACGCAGACAGAGATTTAAGCAATTTCGTGGCATGCAAATATGCCTTTATCCAATTGCATTTGTTTTAACCTCCATAGTTCTGAGTTATGGTATGTAATAAAATAAATGTCTTTGACAGTTTAAGTTCACTAGTGTAAAGGAAGAGGATAAATAAGCATAATTATTTATACATGGGAAGAGTATAGAATCAGACCTAAACAACACACCTTGTTTTGTTTTTTTATCTGAGTAGATTGGGCTTTTGTTTCTTTCTTATCACAGTGCATTTCTGTATGGAAATATACAATGTATTGCTAATGTATTTAGCAATACATTGCTATAGTTGTAACATGACATTTTTTTGTCATGTTACAACTATAAACTTCAATATGTTGGATTGAGATCAGCCAACACCAAAAAAGCTCATAATGTGGGAACTTTTGGGAAAATGTAACATGATTTTCAAATTTTCCTGCAGGTAAAATATGTAAAGTGTGGTTTATATATTGAGACCCCTTTACTTCAATACTCTTCCAGTGTCACTGAGCCTGAGCTATTCTGCAAAAAGGAATGGGTAAATTTAGTGTGTGGACGTGAGAAGGTAGTAAATACATTTCCCACAAAACTGCAGTGGATTTGCAAAGACCGACAGAATACAAATGCATGCTGCAATTTTTATTTGCACAGCATTTTAAAACCCACATAAGAACCAGCTGTTCTTCCACTTCAGCATTATGCAATGTAATACTTTGTGTTTGTCAGTCATAAAAAATAGCATAACATTAGAGGTTGTAACATGACATTTGAAAAACACTCTCTTTGCAGTCACTGTTTGATCAGCTAAATGGAAGCGTATAACAACTTGTTCTCGAATTCACAAATCTGCTTTAACAAATTGTGCCAATGTGACCCACATATTCTGACTTGAAATATAAATCTGACTTTGACTTCAATCTTGTAATATGTTAACTCCTGAGTAAAATGGAGTTTTTCTTCCTGTTTTGAAAAAAAATGCATTGCTTTTGAAATGTCAGACACACTAATATATCAATAATAAACCGACGGTGGCGCTAGATTGTTTTCCAATTTCTGGAGCTGTGACAATTCCCTCAACAGCCACGAGAGGGAGCTCAAATATGCTTTTAAAAATGTCCATGTCTCTACACTTGCCTACAAGACACTTTTATTTTCCCTCTGCATATTTCTTGCAAGTCCATTTATTCTGAAAAAAAAGATCCTTTTCTCTGCCGTGATGCATTGCTGCAGGTCAGAAACAAAATCATAAACCTCTGCAGATTATAGCTTTGCCATAAATTGAGCTTCTTAGGCATAAAATACCTGATGGTACCTGCATCGTACAAATGATTTATGACGCAGAACAACAGAGCGGCCTCGTTCCAGTAGGAGAGCACAGTATTTTGTAACCGTGGCACCAGGAGGGTTTATGTTACAGATAATATGTCGAATTGAGAGACATCGACACAACTATTACGTAACAGATCATTGCTTTTAAACGTATAGTTAAAAAATAAAATATTTTATGTCTAAAGCAACTCTCCCTAATCATGGTACATTGTATGTTTTTATTATTTTGTAAAAGTAGGTGATTTATTTAGATGTAACCCATTAATCAAAATATATTAACAATCTATATTCTAATTCAGGAAAAAGTCTTAACACCGTACCTACCAGTAGCTTGTGTCCTTTCATTGAAATACCATCAGTCTTGCAGTTTCTGTGTTGGAGTAAAGTTTCTCCCACTCCTCATCTTCAGCTGTCAGATATTTGAGGGTTTCTTTCATTGACAGCTTGTTCAAATTCACCCCACAGCGTCTCAATGAAACCAAGGTCCAGGTTTTGACTTGGTCCAGGACTTTCCATTTCTTAATTCTTAACTAGTACTTGATGTATTAATTGGTATGTTTTTGGTCACCGTCATGTTGCAGGGTTCAGTTTTTTTATTTTCTGGTGTCCAAAGGATTACATTTTAGACTTATTGGTTTAAGAACATTACAGACATATTGTAGACTATTTGTTAAACGGTGCTTTAGGTTAGTTAGATTTGTTTTGAAACCTTCTTGAATTCCTTCAGCAAAACCTCAAACAGCTCTTTCTTGTCCTGCTTTTCAGTCTCTCTTCAACAGTAGAACCTTATTTAACACCACGTTTAACCAAACACACAGACTATTGTAGACTGTACTAATTTCAATCAACAATTAGTACTTCGCAAACATTTACCCTCAATAGTGATGTTAGTTTTTTTAAAAAGAGTCTATTTTTATCAGTCGACGACAAAAAAAAAAAAAAATTAAAATCTAAATAAATGCTTGACTCAAAAATTGTTAATTGATATTGCTGTGTTTACCCACTTACATATTTCTCCTACTTTTTCAGTTTCGGATTGTCAAACACGCTTTAATGTTTGATGAAGAAACCTGAGCAAATACAAAAGCTATCCAAACCAACCTGGCACTGGTTTAAGTAAATGGCCCTTTGTTAAATCATGAATTAACTGGGATTAACCCACATTTCTAAAAAAAAAAAAAAAAAAAAAAAAAAAAAATAATAAGTGTCTCAAACAAAAACCCAAATTTTAAATA